AAGTCAGTCGCTAAAACCTTTTGCAAGGAGGCTATGCTTCTGACGTGCCGACGAGCTCAAAATGAAACAGCAGAAACAGCCGAAACAGCCGAAACAGCCGAAACAGCCGAAACAGCCGACGCACCCAAGAAGCCCAGACAAAGAACCCTTCGACAACAATTGGAAGAGGAAGAGTTCGGCTAGTCTTCGGCCAAGGCACCGCAGCGCCTCCGAGTGTTCTGCGGCACGGGCTTTGGCATCTGCCTGCTCCTGTGTGGTGACGAAACATGGCGGAGCCCCTTGTGCTTCTCGGAACTTCCTACTTTTATTGCAAGATTCGCAAGCGCTCAAGAAAATCATGGGGATGATATTGGCCAATATTTTTCCTCTCGCCCTCAAGGCTTCACATGCCACCCTGCCTTCTTCTGCTGAAGCTCTTGCTCGTCAAGCTCTTCAAATCTGCCTGCATTGATGCCCGAGTATGCCAGCACGAATTTACAAAAAAGTATTGCACTGGGCGAGTGACTGATGCCGGCGCCTGCGCGAACATCCTCCGGTGCCGGGGCAGTTGCGGATTCGACCTGGCGAGGTCAATAAATTCCTGTAAGTGGCGCCACTGAGACCCAAAGACACGGCACACAGACCGCGGCTCAAGCAGTCTAAGCCTCAAAGTACAAAGAGTCTGCCATGCCATGCTACTCCAAGAGACATATCCTGCGTCAGCGCATGCCCTCTCCCCTACACCCGCCCCCCACCCCTCGACCCCCTCCTGCCGCCCCGAGCCTGGTTTGGGTTTGGTGTGGGGAAATTTTCCTTGGGCACGTCCGGGTCGGCACGGGGGCGCCAGCTCTGCAGCCAGTGCCTCAGTGACTGATGTTCGGACGCTTGAAAATCCGAAGCCCTTCTTCAACACAGGGTACTTGTAGCGTCAACGGTTGGCATCCCGACAATCTGTCAAGCACATTCCCCATGGAAGCACTTTCGGCGAAGAACTTGAAGAGACAAGAAAATTCCCATATGAACGGATTTTGATTGCAATGTAAGCTGTCTTCCTTTGCATGTGTATCAATCTCAACTTCAGCTATATTGCAAACTTTCTTTACTATCATCTATACTCTCTTCCATCACCTCCTTATGTATGGAGTCACACATATTTATTCACACACACACACACATGTTCTGAATTCTTGCTGGTGTAGCCGGTCGACTTGGCCAACTCGAGCGAATGAACTGGCGATCTATCGTAAAAACAATGCAGGAGCCACGCTTGGTACCTGTCCACAGAATTGGGGGCAAGTT